AATAATTACTGCCATTTTTTATAATCGCTGCAATTTTATACTACTATATTTATTCTTTACGAATAATGTAAGAAAATAGAGACAAAATGCAATTTAACGATTTTATATAAATTTTATATAATTTGATAGCAATTATATATATTGAATAAATAATAAACTTTATAATACTCATATATATTATATGTATTATTATGCCCAAACATACACATATAACAGTCACTTAAAATTCGAGTCAAAATTGATTGTTAATCAATTTTAATATTTTTATACATAGTGCTTGTTGCTGTGGTATAATACAACTATGTATTATTTCGCGTTCTTGGACAATTTAAAAATTGTTATTTTATCGTTATTTTAATTGTCATTGTGTTATTTGATAAAAAGAAAAGCACATATGACGTCGTAAAACATCGGTATCAAAATAGAATTAATTTTTTTGCCAAATTGTAAACATTCAAAATTATTGACGAAAGCAAGATAACTCATCAATAAAAGAATAAGATCGAGGTAGGATCCTCAATCCGAAAGTCGACTTCTTGTTCGTGCATTTTGCGATCGTATCGATAATTAATATTGTTCAGTATAGCACGATTATGAATATTGATGTTCCGAGGTTTCACATGTATTGTCCTGAAATCTACGATCACGTTCAATCAGATTTACTGGTGAAACGTAAGAAACATTCCTACTCACGGGTTTTGCGTTCGGCCTGAAGCTGACATATCTCGCGTAGAGTCTCGAGGCTCCTTATAATTCCATCATACTGCAATCTCGTCAAGCGCTTGCAACGTATCAGCATGGACACCAACAGATCGTCGAGTGATTCGCGATTGTTTCTAAGCTGCAGCATAACTTCAACTGCAAAAGAAGATATTTTGCCTCATTCTGTTACGATGACAAATTTATAATAACGGACACAGAATTCATTCATCGAAAAGAGCTCGATTTATAATTTATCTTATAAAGTTTATGTAACAAATCCAACAGCATCGAATATTTTATTTTACATCGTTAGGTCTCGAAAATCGATTAGCAAGTAGCAGCTTGTAAAATACCTAACGTATTTGTGTATTGAGTAATTATCAGACCGATCGTGCTCCTGAAGTTCCGTGACCTGCTCTGATCCCATACGTGCCCGCTGAACATGTGGAACTTAGCTAGGGGGATACTAGGCAATAGTAAGTAGTACATGTCCTCATAGTGCGAGATGTTCACTGAAAATCAAACTTGAAAAGCTGAATGGTGCAATAATTCTCAATAAGAAATAAAAATCAAGCCTATTTTTATTAAAATAAATTTTTGCACTTAAATATTACTTACAAAGTCCCTATCAATAAAAAATAAAAATAAAAAAGATTTGAAAATTATTTATCTAATTACATTTAATCGAACTACGAAGACCATAGAACGAGCTTGAAAAGAAATAGAGACGGATTCAAAGATGGATTCTATATACTTTTTAGTGAAGGAGGCAATCTTAGATTATGTTGTTTAGCAACATTTTGTTATAGTGTTATACCTATAGTATAGGACACTGTTAAATCAGGGCAAGCTAACACCAAATTGCGCCAGGCAACGTCCGCTACCATGTGCTGCCTAGAGTCCGAGTCCCTTACGGATATGTACAGGTACTTTAGCGTTTTCGATGATCCATTTGCAAGAGCGTCGAGAGCGTGATTTGATAAAGCCGGATAATCCAATTTCAACAGAGTCAGCGCGTGAAAACGACCCAGTAGGCGCAAGTATCTAAAAAAAATGATGTTGTGTGTTAATCACGGTTCATACAGAATTGCCGCAAATAAATTCTGAAGTTGCGAAAGCACTTGAGATTTTTGTTTAACAATTTATACTCTTATTCGTGTATACATATATCTACATTTTTTTAAATGAGATATAAAGATACTAAAAAAATATTGTGTTATTACATTTATAAATACATAATATTTTCTAACGTCTTTATATACCTCGGATTGTCGTGGGGAGCTTGCCACTCTCTGAAAGCACCGCGGAGATCCAGCGAGACTAGATGTTCACCGGACCCTTTGACAACCGTTCCCAGCAGTCGCAAGACGTCCGTCACGCCGAAGTCCGCGTTTAATAAGCTCAGGATCTCCAAGCTGCGTTGACCGCTGCAATACAAGAAAGAGGATCAGCTCGTAAATTCTGTTAAAATCGGTATAAGAACGGGAGATCACCGTAGAAAGTTTGCCAGGGCACAGAGCAGCGTTCCCCGATTGCCCCATTTGTAGCCGAACACCCAGTTTGTCAATATCAGTCGCCGCAGCTGCACATCCTTCGCGCGTACGATCGCCAGAAAATCGGCGCCCGCCTCGGCCTGAGTGTTGCGCCTGATCCTGATCTGTCTCGGCGAAATGTACGGCCGCGAAAAAGCGAGCTCCAGGCTGCGCATATGCTGTCCATATTTCGCCTGTCAATATAATGAATCGAGCATTTATATCGTTAGCACAATTAATGAAAGTATGATATACGACAAAATCTCTATTCAGGATCATCTTTTAACCCTCCGAGAACACACTTATTTTTCATTCACAGAGAACACTGGGTCAATCTGACCCTACACACACTTTGATCGTTCACCATTTTAAATTGACGAGTACGATCAGCTGGAAAAAATTTCTATATGTACTTGGAACATTGTTAAATCAATTGATATAAATAAAAAGTGCCACTTTTTATCGCACTCGTCAATTTAAAATGGTGGACGATCAAATTAAGTGTGTGTAGGGTCAGATTGACCCATGAATGTTCTTTTGAAAAAAAAACGTAATTTACGAAAAAAATTTTTTTTATTTCTAATATTTCTGGCAAAAATTTTTTCTGGCAAAAAAAAGGGTCAAATTGGCAAGGATTCTTCGACAAAATTTAAGAGAACTTAATAACTTCATAAAATAGTCATGTAGTGAGTTTTTTTTCTCTACCGAAATATTTATTTCTGTCCCTTTTTTTGCCTATTTTCCAAAGTGAATCAGTTCCTTAATTCTTGAACTATATATCTTTTTCTTCAAATTCACGATTTCGATTTCGCTCGATTATCAATTCTACGATAGATTTAATTAAATTCACCGGGAAGAATCTCATTGGATGGCGGGGGAAAAAAAACTCTTACGGCGAGTTCTCCTGCCAGTGGGAAGTCGCCGCGCAGATCGCGATCGATGAGAACCGTGACGGATCGCCAGAGCACGGGTGAGGACAACGTGCGATTCCATGACCGGCAGACTTGGCTGACGCTGGCGCGATCCGCGCGATCGAGATGGCCGAATATCTGCGTCAATATCAGCTCAGGTAGCTGATCCCACATCTCCCGGCTTCAGCTTGGCCCGTCCTCATCTCTCCTAAAAGGCGGTCGTTGGTCTAAATTACCGTTGGTCGTTTTATTTCCTGAAGTCCCGTTGTCGAGCTTCGTCGATTGCTCTTGTCAAAAACGATCGATCACGAAGAACTGGATTGAAGTGAATTACATATAGCGGAAAAAAGTATCTCGAAGTTCTTTTATAAATATCAATATCAATGTTCCGCTTGTGTTATCGATATAATGCCAATATTATAATAATATTAATTTTCACTAATTTCTTGGAGACAGAAATGCGTATTACATTATACATATAAAATATATTTCAATTAAATATGATTATTAATTATTAATTATTGATTCATGTTTTTTTTCACATTAACATTTTGAAAACAAACATTTTAATAATTAAATTGTAGATTTTTATTTTAAACAATTTTATATTTTAAAATTTTATCGATTTTACGATTATCGACGGTTCGATATATCGAAAACCGAACGACGTACAGACGTAGTCGATATATTCCACAAAACACGTGTGTAGGTTGTAGGACGCCATAGGACGCGTGTTCAAACTTTAAACGCGAATCTAATCTCATTGAAGAAAGTAAAAGGAGGAAGAAGAGAAAGAAGTCATTAACGTATGATTCGTATGATCTTGCATGCTGTTACCTATCGAGAGGAGATTCCTGTTACCTGACGTAGCTTGAATTCAACAAAATCCTACATCCTAATTTTTTAGTGAAAGCTACATCAAAGCTATTTATATTCTCAGAAGTGTAAACTGTTGCGGAAGACATTTATAGCGTGAAAAAAAATGCATTCTCTAAGGAAATTGTCCGGTTCGTTTAGTCGTACGCTGAGAAATAACGTACGACGAACCCTAACCTCTCAGCCTGCGGCGAATGCGAGTGTCGACGACAAAGGTAAATGTATTTGAAATGTCACGAAAAGTATAACAAATAAATGTAAGGTTCGGCACACATATGTTTCATTTCAGAAAAACCGATACTGGTGAAGCAGATGGGTAAGGTGACTGCTATCGGTATTAATCGTCCAGAAAAGAGGAACTGCCTAGACGTTGCGACCGCGCATCTACTGTCCGAAACGCTGGATGCATTTGAGAATAATGAAGAGTCGTTAGTGGGAGTGTTATACGGAGTGGGAGGCAATTTCTGTGCCGGTTACGATCTCAAAGAAATCGCGGACTATAACGGCGAAAACGAGGAAAGCATACCACATTTTGGACCGCTGGTACAGCCGCACTTGCAATCTCAAATTACGAAACGGCACATTTGTTCAGGATATTAACGGGTCTCTTTGATTCTTTATAGGCGAATAGAACTGAATTGTCCAAGAAGCCGTTGGTCGCAGCTTTGAGCGGGTATGCGGTTGGAATAGGATTCGAGCTTGCTCTAATGTGCGACTTGAGGGTCATAGAGGATACAGCGGTGGTGGGCTTCTTAAACCGACGTTTTGGCGTTCCAATTTTATGCGGAGGCACCGTCCGTTTGCCTGCCATGATCGGATATTCCAGAGCTATGGATCTTATACTGACCGGAAGGGCGCTTACTGCACAGGATGCATTCAATTGGGGAATTGCGCACAGATACACATCTTGCGGTTCAGGTACAATAAAGATTTTTTTGAATCTACTTTAAATCTCGTAAGAGAAGACATCATGAGAGAGAGATGATGTAAAATATTCTTAGTTTATAAAATAAAATAAGTCAAGATTTTACAGGTTTTTTTTTTCTCATATATTTATACATATTATTATTTCAAGCCATTTGATCATATAAAATGATTAATAATAACGTGTGTCTATCTTTTTAATCTTTTCCAGCTCTGGGTACAGCGATGAACTTGGCGAATTCTCTTGTAAAATTCCCGCAGAAAAGTATGCTGGCGGATCGTGCGTCAACATATTTTGCCATGTTTTCGCCGAAGCATATAGAAGAGGCGCTGCAGTTCGAGAAGGATAACTCTTCGCACTTGATATTAGAGGAGGGTGTTCCAGGCGCCAAGAAATTCGTCGATCACAAAATTGGAAGGCACGGGAAGTTTCATGATATCACTGTAAGAGATGAGAGCATTCGAGAGCTAGATGAAAATTTATTATAAAGAACTTCTAGCGCGTGTATGTGTATGTATATATATATAATGTACATAATGTACTTTTAAAGTAGCTCTCTCTAAATAAGCCTAATAAACTTCATAATTTTCATAATGTATTTTTGTCAGATAAATTGTACATATTAAAAATATCATTTAATATATTCATGTCTAGTCTCTCGTGGATTAACACTATCATACGCACATACTTTACAATACAGCTG